GGTGGGACGCCCGGGCCTTCGGTCGGTGCATCGCGGCCTTTCACCCCACGCAAGTGGGCATGGCTTTAAGACGTTATTTTACTTATGGCTGAGGAAGTGGAAACAGTGTGACCGGGACCCCTCTGATCGTCCGATGCAGCCCTGTTTCAGTGCGAATATGTGAAAATAAGTCGTGTTAGGCCTGAAGTCCGCTGAATGGTAGCCGGTCACGCAGGGAGGAGGCTCGTCCGTGCGGCCGGAGTCTGCCGTCCCGTTCCGACCGGCGCGCAGCCTCCGGCTCAGGAGCCGTGGTGGGCGGTCGTGCGAAGCTAGGACTTAACCTGCTCGGTCTCCCCGAGTTTATCTTTGATGCTTTTTGGCAGGTGATACTGGCTTTCCTCTTTGCAGTTACGGTGTTTTCATTGTCATAAGTGGTCCCATGTAAAGATACGTTAAGTATACATTAGTATCAGAAGGTGGCTGCTAAGTATACATTAGTATCAGAAGGTGGCATGCCAGTGATTGACACGGGGAAGTCCGAGCCACGCCTCCCGAGTGGTCTGTGTACGTTCGCAGCAACTCCAGACCCGGACTGTGCCCTGGATGCGGCCGAGGGTCCTGGGGATGACCAGGCCGGATCCGACCGCGGGGAGCTGACGTGGTGGTCGCACAGAGGACACACATGGCTGAATCTGCGCCAGGATTCAGGCTGGGACTATGTCACTCGCTCGCGGCTTAATAGGGACTTAGAGCAATTTCTGAAAGGGACAGGAAGGGGTGTCTTGTTTGTTTTAAATTGGGAGCACAGTGTACATGCTTGTACAAAGTTGGGCTGATGTGTGGGATCAGGGTCTGGAGACTGGGAGAAAGTGAAGGAACAACCTCAGCATGTTTTTCCCCCCTTTTTAAAAAATTGTGGTAAAGTATGTATATGAAAATACTTGTCATTTAAAGTGTACAATTCCGAGGCATTAATTACATTCACAGTGTTGTACAGCCATCACCACTATTTCCCAAACTTGTTCACCACTCCAAACAGAAACTCTGTAGTAAGTTTTGAAATCCAGAAGTGAATTCTCCAACTTTGTTCTTTTTCAAGATTATTTTGGCTATGTGGGTCCCCTCACAAATTCATATAAATGTAATGTTTGGCTTTTCCACTTCTGCAAAAAAGGCTGTGGAAATTTTGATAGGGATTGTGTTGAATCTGTAGATTGCTTTGGTAGTATTTACATTTTAACAATATTAAGTCTTCCAGACCATGAACATGGGATGTTTTTTCCACTTATTTGTGTCTTCTTTAATTTCTTTCAGCAATGTGTTGTAGTTTTTGGTATACAAGTCTTTTACCTTGGTTAAATTATTCCTAGGTATTTTAGATTTTTGGATGCATTTGTAAATGGAGTTGCTCTCTTAACTTCCTTTTTTGATTATTCATTACTGATGTCTTGATTATTGTGCATTGACCTTGTGTCCTGCAACTTAACCGAATTCATTTATTAGCTCTAGTAGTTTTCTTTTGGATTCTTAGGGATTTTTCCTACATAGGATCATGTCGTCTGTCAATACAGTTTTTCTTCTTTTACAGTTTGGATGTCCTCTGTTTCTTTTTCTTGCTGAATTGCTCTGGCTAGAACTTCCAGTACTATGTTGAATGGAAGTGGCAAGAGTGAGCACCCTTGTCTTGTTCCTGATCTTACAGAAAAGCTTTTCAGTCTCTCACCATTATGTTTGCTGTGGGTTTTCGTAGATCTCCTTTACTGTGCTGAAGAAGTTCCTTTCTATTCCTAGTTTTCTAAGTAGTTTTGAGATGAAAGGGTTAAATGCCTTTTCTCCATTAATTGAGTAATGATGTTTTTCTCCCTTTTGTTCTGATATTTCTCATGTTGAATTATCCTTGCATTCATAGGGCAAATCCCACTTGGCCATGATGTGTAATCATCTAAAGATGCTGTTGGATTTGGATTACTTGTATTTTGTTGAGGTTTATTGTTATTTTTTTGTTATTGTTATTGAGTTTTGCATCTATATTCATAAGGGATATTGGTCTAATTTTCTTATGTTTTTGGCTTTAGTATCAGTGTATTGCTGGCCTTCTAGAATAGGTTAGGAAGTGTTCCCTCCTCTTCAGTTTGTTGGTAGAGCTTAAGTAGGATTGGTGTTAATTCTTCTTTAAATGTTTAATAGAATTCACCAGGGGAAAAACAACAACAACAAAAATTCACCAGGGAAGCCACCTGTCCCCTACCAGTTTTGTTTCTTAATTATGTTACTTTAGGTAATAGTTTGAGTGTTTATAGGAATTTGTCCATTTCATCTAAATTATCTTATTTGTTGATGTGCAATTGTTCACCGTATTCTCTCATCCCTTTTATTTCCTTAAGGTCAGAGGTAATGTCTCTACTTTCATTTCTGATTTTAGTGACTTGTCTTTTTTTCTTTCAGTCTAGCTAAAGGTCTGTCAATTTTGTTCATCTTTTCAGAGAACCAACTTTTACTTTCATTGACTTTTTGTTTTATCTCTAATTTTTATAATTTTTTAAAATCCTCACCTGAGGACATGTTTGTTTGTTAGTTATTGAGAGAGAGAACATCGATATGAGAGAGAAATATCCATCAGTTGCCTTCGGCCCTAGCCCCAAACCTGCAACCTGGGTATGTGCCCTGATAGGATTTGAACACACCACCTTTTGGTGTACAGGATGACATGCCAATCAACTGAGCCACACTGGCCAGGCTATTTCTATTTTTTATTTGTTCCTTTCTTCTTCTATGTTTGGGTTTATTTTGCTTTTCCCCCCCCTTTTATTCTTCAAAATGTAAAGTGAGGTTACTGATTTGATATCTTTTTTTAATGTAGACATTTATGACTGTGAATTCTCCTCTGAACACTGCCTTCATTGCATTCCATGGCTTTTGCTCAATGTGCTTTTTCATCAAAGTATACATTCTTCATTCATTGAACAATATTTATACTAGATGGGTTCTAGGTGCTGGGGACGACCCTCTTCTTACAATCCAATTGCCCATAGCTGTTGCCTGAGCTCTCTGTTCATACTGAAGTTAAAGCCTCATGGTGGCTGGTACCATGGATCTGTCTCTGGCCTAATGGTGTGAGCTGGGCTCTCCCTGGAGAAGAGACCTGGGTTCCCCAAGATATGTGACCAATGCTGTGGCCCTGCCAGCAGGTGAGCGGAACCCAAGGCAGTTGCTGGGCGTGGAGGCCACGGGGGCATAGGCTACCAAGGAGACAGAACTGAACCTCACATCACCTTGCTTGGCCCCGGAGGATGGCTGGTTAGTCAAAGACGGATAAGATTCCTCAGGGAGGAACGACCTAAGACAGGCACAGTCGCAGAGGGGCCGGCAGGAGAGAACTTGGGGGTCAACAGAGGTGGGGCACAGATCCTCACCCCCCCAACTATGCAGGGGCTTGAACACTCGCCCCTTCTGAGGAAGGTCTCCTGTCCCCATGGCTGCTTCCCGCTTCCCACGCCCAGCTCAGATCGGGACCCAGATAACAGAAAGACTTGGCCCAGCTCAGATCGGCACCCAGGTAAAGACAGAGACTGGCTGACAGCAGCTGCCCTCTCACTACAACAGGACTTGTTTCCCATTTCTACCTTGGACCACAGGGAAAGGGGCAGCTGAAGGAAAGGGCTGTGTCAGGATGCTGCCTTCTTCCCTTTCTTCTACTTTTTTCTAAACACTGCCATGACTTGTAGTTCTTTTGCTTTCTCTTCTTTTTCTCTCTACTACCCTCCATCTTCCATATCAGCTGGCCCAGAGGGCACAGCTTACTCCTCGGACACCGACACCACCATCAAGCACGGCCCTGATGGACCCTTTGATGTAGCCCTTCAACTCGCTGATGCTTCGGGAAGCCCATCGCCAATGACGCTGCCCGCTAGCCAGATCAACAAGGACAACCAAACCACCGACTTGAGGACAGCTGAAATCCCTTGACTGAAGAGGCCAGCAACCTTCTACAGGAACAAGGCTCCTTGTGCAATCCATCCACTATGTTTTTAGCTATGCTTATTGTCATTGCTTGCCAGTCTTCTTCCGAGTCTTAAACAGCCCAATCTGAGAGGTGGCCACTGATTTGCATGCGCTATCCTTTAAAAAATAAAAAAGGGGGAATTTGCCGGAAGCCGGTCCATCCTTGCTGCTTGACACAGTCGCTGCAGGAAAGAAACATCTGCACAGCATATGTTTCAAGGGACCTGGCATATATAGCATATTGTTCTTAATATGTTTGCTCTCCTTAGTGCCATGTGTTTTAACCAAGGTCACCTCTCCGAGAAAGGTTGTTTCCCCAGGTGGGGATTTTTCCCCGAGGTTAGGGAGGGGATACAACCCCTTAATTAAGTGCCAGGCGGGTAGTTAAGCTACATAATCTTTACTCCCTGGAATGGAGATAAAAAACGCCCTAACCTTTGTAATAGAAATTGACAGGATTAAAATCGGCTGGTATAAATACAGATGTAACAAGACAATAAACATCAGATCCTGATCAGTTCCTAACCAGAACTTCGCTGGAGATCCCGACCAGAACTTTGGCTGGAGATCCTGGCTAGAGGTCCTGACTAGGCTGCTGATCAACTGAAGGCTGTCTCCGTGTCATTCCTTCTTCGCCGACTCCGTCCACACCTTTGGGGACCCCTGGACCTGCTGGGGTCGGACCCCAACAAGAAACAGGCAGTATTTACATTGTGATGGAGCTGCCCTTTAGGGTAAATCAACATGACAGCAATTGTTGGTTTCAAATCCATAAAATGGTAGTGTGATAGAGAATGGTGGTAACACTACTTTAATTTTTAAATTTTATTTTAAATAGGTAACATATACACATGGTTTGAAAATAAAAAAGATATTAAAAAGTCCCTGGCTGGTATGGTTCAATGGGTTGGAGCGTTGTTGCATACGCTGAAAGGTGGTGGGTTCAATTCCCAGTCAGGGCACATGCCTGTGTTACTAGTTCTATCCCTAGTCAGGCACGTGAGAGAAGCAACCAATGGATGTTTCTTTCTCCCATCCTCTCTCTCTAAAAAAAAATTAAAAAGAATAAAAGGCACCTGGCTGGCATAGCTCAGGCCTGTGCGTTGACCCATGAACTAGGAGGTCATGGTTCAATTCCCAGTCAGGGCACATGCCTGGGTTGCAGGCTCCATCCCCAGTAGGGTGCTTTCAGGAGGCAGTCAGATCGATGATTCCCATCATTAAAGTTTCTAATTCCCTCTCCTTCCTCTCTCTGAAATAACATTAAAAAAAAAAGGCAACCGCCCTAACCAGTTTGGCTCAGTGGATAGAGCGTCGGCCTGCGGACTGAAGGGTCCCAGGTTCGATTCCAGTCAAGGGCATGTACCTTGGTTGTGGGTGCATCCCCAGTAGGGGGTGTGCAGGAGGCAGCTGGTCGATGTTTCTCTCTCATCGATGTTTCTAACTCTCTATCCCTCTCCCTTCCTCTCTGTGAAAAATCAATAAAAAAATATATTAAAAAAGGCAACCTGTTGAATGGGGGAAAATATTATGAAAAGTTCAAGTTTGCAAAATCTCTCTTGCACCTCTGCTACCTTTTACCTCATTATCTGCTGGCCTGCCAGACTCCTTTCCTGCCAGGAGTAACTATTTGTAGGATCATGAGGCAACGGGGTATCAGTAGTGAGAGCAAAGGTGGAGGGAATTCAGGGCTTGGAGAGTGGCGGTTTACCAACTAGAACAGAAGTATTTCTATTTTAATCAGTACAATCATACTGGTGTATGTTGACTGAATATTCCCGTTACCTGTAAGTAACCTCTTATATTAGAGTCTGTTTTCCAGTGTTTTTTCATCAAATACAAACACCAAAGATAATGTACTCTCTCTGCACCTTGCTTTTCTTTTCTTTTTAAATCCTCACCCAAGGATATTTTTCCTTTTTTTTTTTTAGAGAGAGTGGGAGGGGGAGAGACACAGAGAGAGAGAGACATGGATGTGAGAGACACACATCTATTGGTTGCCTCCAACACGTGCCCAAACTAGGGCTGGGGATCCAACCCATAATCGAGATACATACCCTTGATCAGAATCAACCTGGGACCCTTCAGACCAAGGGCCCATGCTCTATCCACTGAGCCAACTTGTTAGGGCTGCACCTTGCTTTTTAAACTTAGCAATATATCCTGGAAATCTTTCTCTGTCAGTTTATAGAGAGTGTCCTCATTTTTGTCCCAGTTACATAATTGCATAGTTTGTGTTGTGTGTGTTTGTGTGTGTGTTGTTTTTATTTTTGGGGGCGTAGCTGATCCTGTGCCATGTATTGGCTGGGGCAGCTCCTCCAGTGACTGGCCGCTCAGTAGGGTGGGGTGTCAGCTGGGTTTCAAGAGTGAAAATGGAAGCCGGAGGCCCAGGCTGCAGCCATGGGTGGCCAGTCCACCCCTCGATGGGAAGAGCACGTGGATCCGGACGGGGCGGCGCTGTCGCACGGGTCTCTGCAGACTCTGCCACCCACAGGGCTCCCCCCCCCCCCCCCCCCGTTGTTCTTCACTTTAGGTTTTTAAAGGTTGAACCCAGTGTCCTGTGTTCTGGATTGGCTTTATCATTTCCTCATGATGTCCTCTAAACGTCTTCGTTTCCTGTAAATCGCAAGACAAAATGCCGGATTCAGATTAAACATTACAAAAGCATATTGTACCATTGGTGATCCTTATGTTTTACAATCAACTTTTGCCAGGACAGGATAATTTTAAAAACTAAGAGCAAATCATTCCTCAAACAAAATACCCTACTCTAGGGGCCTAGAGGGTTCTCTTTTGCCAAAGCCCTAAGAGGGCTCACAGGCCCACCGGACCCTCCCACGCCCATCTGAGACCGCTTTCCCCCTTCCCCGCCTCCGTCCCGCTTCAGTCCCAGCCCTGACCTTACAACGTATCCACTGCCACCGCGGGCTGACAGAGGGAGGGGGTGGAGGGGGGCGAGAGAGGCGGTTCAGCGCATGCGTACTCCCCGCGCCGTCACGTTGCGTCTACTGGTGTGGTGCGCAGGCGCGCGCACGTACGCTGGAGAGAAGGTGCGCGTTGGCAGGTGTTGGTACTGGACTACGTCACTGAGGGGCAAGAGGACCACCCCGCCGCCCCGAGCGTTCCGCGCATGCGCAATCTCCGCCTGCCCCGGCTCTTTGGCCTGAAAGGCGCGGGACTGGCGTCAGAGTGCGCGCTCTGCGTCGGGTTGAGCCGTGTCGCCTGGAAGCGGGGCGCAGGCGTGCGCATGCGCGTTGCACCGAGGGCGCTCGGTGACAGGTGTCGATCCCCCAAGGCGGCTCGCGATGGGGTGGCCCGCGTTGCTGCTGCTCTCGCTGTGCGCGGTGGGCGTCCGAGGGCTCTACTTCCACATCGGCGAGACCGAGAAGCGCTGCTTCATCGAGGAAATCCCCGACGAGACCATGGTCATCGGTCAGGCGGCGTGGGGGTGGGCAGGGCCCTGCGTGTTCCTCAGTCGCGGGCCGCGGTCCCCTTGGGAGTGTGGGAGCCGGGCGGTCGAGGCGCCTTGTGACAGCTTTGTCGCTCCGCAGGGAACTACCGCACCCAGATGTGGGATAAGCAGAAGGAGGTCTTCCTGCCCTCCACCCCCGGTCTGGGCATGCACGTGGAGGTGAAGGACCCCGAAGGCAAGGTAGGTAGGGCCACCCGCAGGCTGTGGCCTGGGCGCCCTGCGGACGGCGTCAGGCAGCCCCTCTCCAGAGCCCTGGGGGTAGGGGGGTGGGGGGCGGAGCTGGGAGGTCAGTGCAGGGGCTTCCACTGACCGCTGTGTTGCAGGTGGTGCTCTCGCGGCAGTATGGCTCGGAGGGACGCTTCACCTTCACTTCCCACACCCCTGGGGACCATCAGATCTGCCTGCACTCCAACTCCACCAGGATGGTGCTTTTCGCTGGCGGCAGACTGGTAAGAGGGTGTTCTTCATGCCCGGCGGCGTGGTGCAGGGCTTGAGCTGCGACCTATGACCCAGGAGGTCACCGTTGGGTTCCCCGTCAGGGCACATGCCTGGGTTCAGGCTGGATCCCTTGGGGGGCGGGCAGGAGGCAGCCGATCCATGATTCTCTCCCATCAATGATGTTTGTGTCTCTCTCTCCCTCTCCCTTCCTCTCTGAAATCAATAAAATAATATTTTTTAAAAAGGAAAAAGTTCTTTCGCTACAGCTCAGAATCTCTCACTCGGTTCCAAAGTTCTGATTTATCTCCATCGTTATTTGTGACCCGTTGTGGCATAGTCACAATTGGGGAGACCTGTTGCCCCTCTGTCCCATAGTCAGGGACAAGAGCAGGTGGCATCGTCTGGAACAGGCTGTCTGAGGCTCCCCAACTCCTGTTTCTTACCCTGTGGCTTTGGGGCTCTGACCCCGTGTCCTTGTAGCGTGTGCACCTAGACATCCAGGTTGGAGAGCATGCCAACAACTACCCTGAGATTGCGGCCAAGGACAAACTGACAGAGCTGCAGCTCCGAGCCCGCCAGCTGCTCGATCAGGTGGAGCAGATCCAGAAGGAGCAGGACTACCAAAGGGTAAGGGCATGTCGCTGTACTGGGACCTGCCAGTTGCCCTTTATACCCACCACACCCACTGGGGTTTCTGCTTGGGGCCTTCCCAGTGAACTGTTCAGAGAATGGAATGGAGGGTATTGGTCTAGAGCAGCGATTTTAAACCTTTTTCATCTCATGGCACACATAAAGTAATTACTAAACTTTCTGTGGTACACCAAAAAATATATTTTTTGCTGATCTGACAAAAAAGTAGGTATAACTTTTTGTTTGTTTTTTGTTAATCCTCACCCCAGGATATTTTTTCCATTGATTTTTAGAGATAGTGGAAGGGAGTGGGGAGGAGCTGGGGGAGAGAGAGAAACATTGATGTGAGAGAGACACATTGATTGGTTGTCTCCCAACCAGGGCTGTGCCGTTGACTCGGAATCGAACCTGAGACCCTTCGGTTCCCAGGCTGACACTCTAACCATTGAGCATGCCATCCAGTGATTCATTCATACTGGATGGCTGTTGTTGGGTTGACTGTTGTCATTTATTTATTTGACAATCTAGGGGAAAAGAGGTCAGTGTCCCGCCTAAAGTCAGGTGTTGCATCTTTTAAAAATTGTTGCTGCACGACGGTTGAAAATCGCTGGTCTGGAGGGCTCTTTTTAGGCTCTCACCGCCTAAAGTCAGGTATTGCATCTTTTAAAAATTGTTGCTGCACGATGAATTGAAAATCGCTGGTCTGGAGGGCTCTTTTTAGGCTCTACACAATAGAGTAAAAATCTAGGCATCGTCTGTTCACCTTGGGATCTGGCAAGAATTGGAAGGAGCATGACTCCATCCCAGTGGGGATGCTTCCCGAGAGGCCGCACGTCACTCCCGTGGGGCACTCCCAGTGGTCGGGCAGACAGGATTTGGTCCCATGGCTGAGTAGTCCTATGGGAGGGGGTGGCTTACACAGCCAGGACCGGCTTTCCCTGCACATTTAGTCCTGCGTCTGCTGTCCCACAGTACCGTGAAGAGCGCTTCCGACTGACCAGTGAGAGCACCAACCAGAGGGTCCTGTGGTGGTCCATCACTCAGACCGTCATCCTCATCCTCACTGGCATCTGGCAGATGCGGCATCTCAAGAGCTTCTTTGAGGCCAAGAAGCTGGTGTAATGTCCTCTCCGAATGACCCTCCCTCTCACCTCAGTTATTGATACTTTCCCCACCTAATACCTTATCCACCCGGCTTGTGAGGGAAAAAAAGAAAAAAGAATATAAACCACATTGGTTCCCTGGCAACAGAGCATCCCGATCAGCCACTTGCTCACAGTGGTTCTCAAGAACACAGGGCATTGGTCCAAGCTTTCAAAGATGTCTTGGGGTTTGTGCACGGTCGGATCTGACCCAGGACTAGGTCTCACTTCTTTCACCTCCAGTGATTCCCCTGCATCCTGTCACCAAATGAGCAAATGACAAGTCCTCTTGTGACTTCTTCATCTACTCATGCAGTAAGCGATGGCAATGCCCCAAGAGGCCCTGCCTCCCTGCTCCCGTCAGTCCTGGGCTCTCCCAGTGGCTTTGTGAATGTAAATAAGGGGCAGAGGCCCTAGAGGATTGAAATGTTTTTCTATATATTAGAACTATTTTTTGATAAAGTATATATTTTCTTTCCTAGTTGAAGTGTTAACTGCCTATACGACTAGCTGAAAACACCAACGCAGCCCCCTTGCATTCTGTCTGTCCACATGTTTTTGATAAGTACCGTGGCAGCTCTCAGGATTTCAGCCGTCTGTGGGCCAGAAAGCAGACGTCCCACTGCTATTGAGGCCTTAGAGAGGGCCAAGCAGACTCCTCTGGGACACTTGCGATTTCACCAGACAGGGCCTCACTAAGAGTGAGGTTGTGACAGCTCGCACAAGGCAGGGCACTCTTACCCTCCCTCTCCCCTTGACCTGTATTTAAGCTATGGCAAATGTTTTCATGGAACCAGGTTTGGTTCTTTATACAGATTTTTCCAGTGAAATAAAACGTGTTGTACTAGCTGTGTTTGAAATGAAATGAGAGGTTGTGGGCAGAGTGGAGGCACACAGGTATGGAGGAAGGGCTGCTGGCCTGGACTGCCCCTGCAGCCGCCTCGAGTGGACTATAGCGTGTGGGCTCATGGTACTGGGGCTTGTCCTAACCTCAGTCCTGGGATGTGGGTGGACCAGTGGTTGCTCAGCCATTCACATGGGTCAACCAAGTAGAAACATCGGTAAGGGATCTTAGGAAGCGCTGAAGTCCCAGGTCGTAAGTTTAAGCAGATCCCACTACAGGTCCCTATGCCGTCTTCTGTAGGAAACAATGCCACCAGTTGCCCATTCTTGACATGTTTATTTCATGGTTTTATTATTTATCTGACCTACAGAACTAAATTCTTAATGTTTTTTTCTTTATTTCCTATATTATTCCACATATGTACTTGTTTTTACTTGTAAAAATATATGCAATTTAGATTTATGGGCATTGTCATTGAATATTTTTGTAATTATTTTTGAAATTCTACATTCTAATTCTGGATGGCCATGTTATCCCAGTAAGGGGAAATGCCGTAATTGATATACCCAAAATTCTTTGGATATTTCGAATAGTTTCCAGTTTTCTTCATGTTACAGTAAACAAGGAAACAGAAGGAGCTGGCTGGCTGTGTAGGCCACTGGCCTGAGGCGCTGGGGGAGTATGAGACATGTTGGAAAGGGAACCTGTGTCTACCCTGTGGCTGTTACTAGGAATCCAGCCAGTAAAAGAGCCTGGAGTCTGGGCTGTGGGAGGACAGGAAACTCCAGGTGAGAGCTGAGGCTGGCTTCAAAGTGCCAGTGGTAGACACGATTGCATCTTGTTTTGTTAATCCTCACCCAAGGATATTTTCCCATTGATTTTCTTAAGGGAGAGTGGGAGAGAGAAGGAAAGACAGAAACATCAATGTGAGAAAAACACATTTATAGGTTGCCTCCTGCACGAGCCCTGAGCAGGGCCTGGGCTGGGGCGGAGCCTACAACCAAGGTATGTGCCCTTGACCGGACTCGAACCCGGGACCCTTTGGTCTGCAGGCTGACGCTCTATCCACTGAGCCAAACCAGCGAGGGCAACACAATTGCATCTAAATTATGTCGATAGGTCAGTCAGTCTTGCATTTCTCCTGTCAAGTTTTGATGGGAAGGGGGGTGGAGTGAAACAAATGTGGGACTAGCTGATGGGGCAGGTGAGGATTTCCATACCGCTGTGTGGTATTCACAGACATTACACCCTAAAAGTTTTTTTTAAAAAATATGTTTATTCATTTCAGAGACTGGAGAGGGATAGAAACATCAATGATGAGAGGATCATTGTTTGGCCACCTCCCACATACCCTCTCCTGGGGAATCCCACAACCTGGGCATTTGCCCTGACCAGGAACCAAACTGTGACATCCTGGCTCAAGGGTGAACTCAATCACTGAGCCAAACTGGCTGGCCAGGCCTAAAAGTTTTTAAAATTCAGTTCGGCTCACAAAACTGATTAAGCAGGTTTGTGTTTGGGGTCACATGAGAGGCAGAAGGACGGCCTCCAATGATGTCCATGTCCTAATCCCTGGAATTTGTGAATATGTTACCTAACATGGCAAAGGGGATTATGGGTGCGAACAGCTGATTTTAGAACAGACTGTCCTGGATATTCTGGCTGTGCCCACTATCCTCACAAGTTTCCTTAAAAGTGGAGGAGGGAGGCAAAGGAAGGTCTGAGGGGATGTGAGGACTCAACCCACTCGCTGTGGCTGGCTCTGAAGACAGATGGAGCGAGGGGCCGTCAGCCAAGTTGGGAAAGGCAAGACAAGTTGTTCCTCTCGCGTCTCCAAGGGAATGCAGCTCTGCCAACAGCTTGATTTCAATTCCGTGGGACCTTGTCAGACTTCTGACCTACAGAACCATAAATAAATTCCTGCTGTTTTAAGCCACTAAGCTATGGTAACTGTTGTAGCAGCAATACCCAGCTAATACAGGTGGGAACCAAGAATCCCCATTTTTTTTTTGTCTTTAAATATATTTTTATTGATTTCAGAGAGGAAAGGAGAGGGAGAGAGAGAAACATTAATGATGAGAGAAAATCACGGATCCGCTGCCTCCTGCACGCCCCCTACTGGGGATCGAGCCCGCAACCTGGGCATGTGCCCTGACCGGAATCGAACCCGGTACCCTTCACTCTGCAGGCCGAGGCTCCATCCATCGAGCCAAACCGGCCCCCCCCCCCCACCTTTTTCCCCCCAAACTATAAGAAAAAGTGTATTTAGAGTCAGAGGAAGAAGTGAGCCATAGGGGAAATGGCCCCAGGAAACAGGTTACAGAGGAGAAAAAAAGGGGGGGCCCTGGAGCTCAGGAGAGAGGGAAGCGCCCTGGGGACACGGACCCGCACTCAGCCGAGCTGTGCGGTAGCTGACGGGCAGCTGGCGTGGGAAGCCCGGACAGACCACCTGCCTGTCTCCTGCTGCTCATTCTTCCACCCTCGTCCGGCAGACCCTTCGCTGGAGCCTGTCCCTGGACGTCTGAGCCCCGCACCCAGCCAGCCTCTGGCCTCCCCGACGCCGCTCCG